GATAATCCTGTTCTGAAACGTACATGCTAATATAAAAATTATGACCTTTTGTCGTACTTCTATAGAATTTAATCATCAAGAATAAACTATGCAAGCACGTCAAAGAATCTATGAAAACCAAATAATTTATGATAATTTCATAGAATGTACTATGCACATCCCTAAAATAATGTGCGTGGGCGTTTTGCAAAGGATATAATTAGCACTTCAGTGTTCACTGAGTGGGAAATAAGCAAGTAAAAAATTTGTTTAACAATTTTTATCAAAAACCATTTTGATTTGTTGTTACAATTTTATTGAAACAATTTTCTTTTAATATAAATATGAATGTAGATATTTTGTTTTTGAAGGTTGGGTGGTATTATTACTTGTATTATCCGTACAATAGAGTGGTTGAACATACAGGGTGTTCCATCTTAGACGAGCCATCCCGTATATTTCTTATCCTAGCGTAATTGGAAAAAATTTCCGAAACACGGATGATTTTCTTTGGGGGACATCTTTTGACGTATATTTGAGGCTTGAACGAGCAACCCCCTATGAGGGGGCGCTTCAACCCCTCAAAATTGAATAGGGAAGAGGGGTTGAATGATACTTCAATTGTAAGGTCTTAGAAGCCTCTTTACAACGGTGTATGAAAAAAATCACATTCTTAAAAAAAATTAATTATTTTATCATGCTTACAATCAAAAAAATCAAAACTGCGTTTTTAAATCAAATGTTCAAATTGTCCTCCTCTTCCCTATTTAATTTTGAGGGGTTAAAGCGCCCCCTCATTGGGGGTTGCTCGTTCAAGCCTCAAATATACGTCAAAAGAAAAGAAAATCATCCGACGTGTTTCGGGAAATTTTTCCAATTACTATGGGATAAGAAATATACAGGGTGGCTCGTCTGAGAAAGAACACCCTGTATATTAAAAACATGTTACATAATAAATAGATCTTTGAAATTTTAATTGTTTAAATCAACATCCCATAGTAAACACAATTTCATTTAATTGATAATTACTAATTACTAGAGCATTTGAAAAAAATGGGTTAGGGAAAGTATAAAAAAGCACCAAATATTAAAAATATGCAATATCAATGTATTATTCACCCTCAATTGTTCCTATTATTTTGAATAAGTATATCAGTTTAAAAATATTTCATGCATAAAAAATCGAGGCATTACAAAACCAAATTGGAAACTTATTACATCAATTTAGCAGTGAAGATGATGAAAGGATGAAGATGATTAAAATCAATTGAATAAATATATTTAAGCGCTGCATGAATTTTAACAGCAATATTAATTGAACTTATTATTTATATGTACTCGAATATAATTGTTGAATAAATTTGAATTGTCTATTTTTTTTTTCAACACCTGACAAAAACTGACTTTGATTCGACCTCAATAAACAATATAATCTTACCGTATCTGATATTTCCATAATTTTTTGAATGAAACTGATTCACAAAACTTATTGAACTTTTTTTTTGCAGCAAAGAACCACAGTTTTATCTTATCTCCCAGTAAATTTCAATAAATTTAATGAAATTATTTAAATGGTAGTACTTTTTATTATTAACACTTAAGAGAATGTGAAGGTATTGAATGGTATACCTATATTGCTGTCACTAACCTTGTACTGAATAACCTCGATGATCAGGTCCGGAGTAAGTTTCTTTGAAATTGGTATATTTCTTTTAATAATTGTTAGATAAACTGTAAATTGGATAATTGCTAGTTAGATTTCTATCAAAAGTACAATTCTGGATTGTGCCAGGTGTCAGGGTTACTTCCTTGTTGTAACCAATTATTTTAGAAATGTTGCATCTTAAAAAAATGATACTTCCAATATGCAAAACAATGATAGAAAAGAAATACATAATTATATATCAATACACATCAACCATGAATTTGGCTACACTAGAATAGACAAAAATAGTGTTGGCAAATCCTTCGATCCAATCCATCATACTTCATAATTATAAACAAAAGACACATTTAAAAGTTTTGTAGTAACAAAAACTAATTGTCGATAATATAAACTATAGCAAATAATATACTGTATGTCTATGATAAAAAGTAACGGCCAAAGAATTGTTCCTTGCGGAACTCCTGTTTAAATCCGACCTGATTTTTTTATAAATACACTTTGAAACGGTATGTTGAGATAAGATTAAAAAAGCTGCAACGCAGTTTCTCCAATTCCATAGTAACTGAGTTTTTTATGAAGGATATCGTATGACACTCAGTCAAAAGCCATTGATAAATCACACAGAGTAACTTCTACATTTTTATTTAGAATTTCTTCAAAATCAATAGGCTCTTATAGAGCTTGATTTTTCCTAAATTTTTTAAATTGATATAGTTTTTCGTTTTTGACTTATCGTGCAGACAAAAAAACGTGACATCGGACGGACGGAAGCGATTGCATAATACCAGAGACAACAGAGACGTGTAACTTAATAGGAAAATTTGTTCGGTGGTCCATTTAAATTACATATATGACTTTTTTTCTCTTTTACATTGATCTTTATATATATTTATCTCTCTCCAATAAAACTAATTCTTCACCTTTTGGCCAAAAGTAAATACAAGGTTACAGAAGAGTAAAATCTAATAATAATTAATAACACTAATAATATCACACAATAGGTACTAATACATTTCTAACTATGCATATATTGCTAGTATTAGAAGTAATCATCAATAATATGTCGCTCGCTTTTGAAAATAAAATCTTTTAGCTCTGTTTTGAACAAGTATATACTATCAATGATTTTTATGTTTTCCGAAATTGTATTGTATAATTTCGGTGCCATATAGAAATATGACGGTTGAGTACAGGTTTTTAACATAAACGGAGTAATGTAATGATGTTTGTGCCGAGTACTATAATCATGAATTGCAATTGGAGATTGTTGTTTATGTACATTAGCAAAGCTGCCTTATGTCCATTAACTCTATCTGATTATATAAAATATCTGATGGATATCTGTTTCTTTTAGATAATAATATTTAAAAAAATCTTCTTTGCATTGCCTCTAATGGATAGATATGTATTTTAAGGGCTACACCCCATGCTAGAATCCTATATTGCAAATGATTTTCTACTAATGCAATGTTCTTAGATAACTCACAGGTAAGAGATCTTTTAGTTTTTTAAATTTATATAGGAAGCTTCGTAATTAGTTATTTAAATTTGTGATATGTTTATCCCATCTCATGTGTGGATTAATAATTATTCCCAAATATTTAATTTGATTTTTAGGATTTATGAACATTGCATTGGTTATATTTAGACGATCAAAGGTAGGAGAACCCGAAGAGTTACAACTAAATGGTAGGTAATTCGTTTTGCTTATATTTATTGTTAATAATTTATAATCTAATAATTTCTTGGTATGCAAGAAGTATTTCTCGGCTATTTGTTTTAAGTCTTCCCAATTATTCGCCTGATAAAATAAAGCCGTATCATCTGCAAATCCGATAATTTTTCCACTGGTCCTCAATGAAAACAGCCCATTTATATATATTAAACAAAGTAGGGCCAAATATTGAACCCTGCGGTCGTTTTTATATTGCTCAGTCCATTATCCACTCTCACAGATTGTAATCTATTGGTAAGGAAGGTAGTTTTCAAAAAGTGTTAGATCGTTATTTCTTATACCAATATCTTCCAAAGACTGTAAGAGTAGCTGACTGATGACTGACCGTATCAAAAGCTTTCGAAAGATCTATGAATATACATAAACAAGTCTTGCTTTCATTAAGTGAGTCTGTTGTCATTGTAGTCAGAGCAATGACCACATCTTGAGTGAAAGTTTTTTCTCTGAAGCCGAATTGCTGTTTTGAAAGTATTTGATACTTATTTAAATAAGATGCAAGCCTGTTTTTAATTAGTTTTTCGAGATGAGTAATCAAGGATATAGGCCGGTAGTTGCTCGTATTGGTCACATCTCCTTTTTTATATATAGGGATAACAATAGATTGTTTGAAAGCTCATGGGTAAATGGAGTGTTCAATACATTTATTCAAAATAAAAGTAAATGGCTTTACGATGTAGCAGCAAATTTGTTTAAGTGTTTCCGCTTTTATATTATCAATTCCAACTGCTTTCTTGTCTTTTAAATTGAAAATTATATTTTTTACCTCATTTTCTTCAATTGGTGCAAAAACTAATGAATTTGGAAGAGATTTTCTGTTATGTTTATATTTTGGCGAATTAGGAGTTCTTTTGTAACTGGAGGAATAAAGAACTATATTTTAAACATTAATAAATCATTAATTTGAGGTCAGAGTTGCACTATTTTTTGTTTTGATTCTTTTCTTACAAAGTTTAGCAAATTCTAAGTTGCTTTGGATTTTTTTATCTGCCTTATCTATATAATTGACGTATGCATTCTGTTTTGTACTTTTAGTTCAATAATATTGTTTAATATGGGTCATATTAAATTACATTGTGTCAAATAAGATACTAGCAGTACTTTAGACTGCACAAAAGAGAAACAAATTATTCCAGTTTGTGAAAGAATTTATAATGTCTATCACTCAAACTACCTAAATTATTGGAAAAGGCACAAAAATACAGAAAATCTGTGATTGGGGCAACTGAAAGGAAGGACAACATAAGAATAAAAAAACAAGGAAGAGAGACCTTAAGAGAAAAATAAGACTGAATTAAAGAATATAACAATGCCTGTAAAAAGCTTTATTTTTTAGTCTAGTTTTCAAATAAACATTATTTACAATAATAACCATTGTATTATTGCACTAATTTATGTATTTCAGAAAGCAATTTCATCCAGCTTTATTAAAAAGGAAGTATATTTTACATTATATCCAAAATTCGGATAACTGTATGTATATCATTAAATTTTTTGATGAGCCGTGGGGTCTTTTAGTCTTAAATCAGAGAGGAAGGATTAAAACGAATATACATTACTTCCCCTTTCCGTTAAAAGGGGGGAATATATATAAGTCCATGCGATTGAAATCATTTGACGCTGTAGGATATCCTCCATTAAAGTCAATAAACAGTCCCGGACAAGTGCCATTCTAGTTTAAATAGTAATGTGATAGTGGCTGGACCAATGTCTTAAAATATTCATCAATTAGGTTATCAGTTATTTACATTTGTAATTTTCGTAATTTTGTGTACATTTCGGTTAAGTGTAGTTAAGGTTAGTTAGAAAACAAGTGCCAAAATAATTCTGTTGTGCGACGTATTGCGGGAAGTACCTACCTACTGAGTGAAATATTCGTTTTAAAAGTATTGTTTTTTTTTATAATTTCTAAGGATAGTGTGATATGGAAAATTAATGCAGGTTTGAGAGGAGCTGTTGCAACAGGAAGAGAAAAAAATAGGTATAATTTTGTATTTAGTATAAATTTAAAGTATAAATTAGTATTATATAAAATTATCAGTCAATTCAGTAACAAATTGAAACTAAAATCATAATAAATATATCAAAAATGTATTCAGTTCAAATAATTTCCAAATTTTGTCAATGAAATTAACCAATTTTAATGTTTTGAATGATTTTTGCAAAGTTACAAAAATTGTAGGTAATAATATAGAACTTTACGCATAAATATTGTTTATCCATGGACCAGTTGAATTGTAAAACTCTATATAACATGTTGAAAGCCTCCTATCTGAACTTTCAATAACGGGTACTGTTCTACAAAATCAATGACGGAGTACCTCAAGGTTCAGATTTGACTTCAACATTATTCCCATTTACAAATCAACGACGTATTTGCAGTCAACTTTATCCCTTCATAGTCGTGCAAAATCGTTATTTTGACCCGGAGACTCCGGGATTGGGGATAATTTTTCGTGCTCCAAGTTTATATTAAAATTGTCCGATTCACAGAACTGTCTTTTATGTGCCACTCGTGGTAGGAAAACACAATATAATATTTGGGTAGTAAGACAATGATATACATAAAATTAATTTTATCAAAATCAATCCCACATAAAATGACTCCCACATAAAAATCGTTCCACGTAAAGTAAATCCCACATCAAATTAATTTTATGTGGGATAACAATAGCGGTGAATATATAAATGCGTTATTTCATATGGCTATTAAAGTCTCCCCCTTTTTCTACAACAAAATTATATTTCTCCGAGTCAGAATCGGCACAATGTTGCCAACCCTAGTCCACCAAAGTAATATCCTCCAGCTAACTCGAATTCCGAATACTACACCAGCCACAATGCTGTGTTCAATGACAATCAGGTCCATTTGATTAGTTGGCGTCACCCTTTCTCATGGGATGATTTAGCATAATCATGTGTCATCCATTGCCGCTGTAAAATAATTATGTGCCTATTAAGGATGGGGGAGGAGCTTCATAAATATCTAAATATCTCGCTCACATTAAATATGCTTTGAAATTCCTGGGAATGTAGGTATATTATGGGCAGATTTAGATTGTTGGAAAAGCTGAACAATAATTAATCATTTGTTTAATCAGGAAACATATCTAGTAATATTCTAGATTCCCAAGATTGTACGTAGTTCTTCAAGCATTAATAGTACCACCTGCTCTAGTGTTCTACAATTGCAGAGAACGAATTGCAAGAGCAGAAGCGACACAATTTTATTAGGATAATGTTTTCGAGAGCAAATTAATCGTTTCGTTTGCCTTTGCACCAGAGTTCTTTTACAGAAGTTAATTATTTGGAGTATTTCCTATTTACAGACATTGCCCTGAAGTACTTTTATTTATACCAATGAAGGGTTCTACTCGTAGTTTTATAAACAGTGGCTTGGCACCTTCTTGATTGGTTACACCCACATCAAAGTACGTTTGTTGTTTGTGGCCAGTTGCCAGAGTAATAGTTTGCAGTACTCGGGACATAAAAGTGTTAATATTTTCAAAGAGTACCCCTCGCTTCACTTTTCACCTTACACAGTTTATATACCATTGATGTCTTTGTCATTTGTGCGCTGTAATCGTCATTTGTGTTTTATTGTGTGAGAAAAAAGTAAAAATATCATTTTCAGATTGAAATTTGGGTCATGAGCTGACGGTGGAAGAAGCAGCAGACAAGATGACGACGACGCACAGGATGGCAGAAACGCAAGAGTTCGAAGAGGACACACTTAAAATAAACCGTCACGAAAATATCGAGTTGCCAGCTCTTACAAATGTTCCAAACTTAGTGAATCAATTGACTTATTCAAAAAATATTGCTACTTATCCCGAACGAGGAACGTGGAGTAGTAAATTAGACTTCATATTATCTGTAGTAGGTTTAGCCATAGGTTTAGGTAATGTGTGGAGATTTCCATACTTATGTTATAAAAATGGAGGTGGAGCTTTCCTTGTTCCATACTTCATCACCTTAATACTTGCCGGCATTCCAATGTTCTTTATGGAATTGGCACTTGGACAAATGCTGACTATAGGTGGTCTTGGAGTATTCAGGATTGCTCCCATTTTCAAAGGTAAGTAACTAGGATAAAAAATAAACTACTCTTAAGTCTAATTTCGAGAAAGTGTAAATTAGCAGCAAGGTGTCAAAAGGGGGATGATCGATTTTGCAACCAGAGGATGAAGCAGATCAGCTATTGCCACCAAATCACTATAATCTTCAAAATAATATTCCCCATTCCATATTTTTTCCATATAAGTGTTTTATTTGTAAAAATCATCTATTATACATTAATAGAAACTCGTCAACATTTTGGACAAACGCATGCACCTGTCAATTTTTTTAGGAGAATAAAAACGACGGCAGTTATATATGAGTTACTATTTATACAATGGATTGATTAATTAACTAAGTATATATTTTATAGAATATTAGGACCTTTGAATATGTAAAAAAATCAAATTCAACTTAGTACATATTTAGCAGGTAAAGCCTTTTATACGGTTTGATGTTTATTACTTTTGATGATTAGTTTATTGTTTTTAGTAGTTAAATAAAAAAAATTATATTTCTTTCATATCCTTAACTATCATATGCCATTTCCTTCCTTTACTTCAACCAATACAATTTAAACAGGGAAAGTACCAAGTATTGAATATATAATAATAGAAAATTCAGCAATATAATTATTCACTGGGTTACTTTTGAATTTAAAGCCCTCTAGGAGGATAAAAATCTATTACCAATTGTAAAGTGTGACACTTCATTTGAAAGCACATTTTATTAATAATTTAATGCACAACATAACATAATTGAATGAAACAGCTTAAATAATTATTGATAACTTTCAGAGCTATGCTATGTATTAAAATAAATAATAAAATTAACTTTTAAATGAAAAATGAAGTGCCACATTTTTCACTGCTGTGGCATAGTTCTACTTAAATTGTATTGTCGAGAGTGAAGGAATGACGTTTGACAGATGAAGATATGATAGAAAGGTGCCCCTTTAATCAAAAATTGACAAAACCGAACGTTTGTCTAAAATTCTGATATATATTTAAATATCCAAGTGTAGATCTACAAAGGGGCTGTCTGCAGACTTGAGAATTGTAGGAATTGATAAGAGAATCATGCTAAATTTCTCGTTTTCATTTTGTTTTGTTTCAGGAATTGGATATGCTGCTGCTGTGATGTCTTGTTGGATGAACATCTATTATATTGTAATTTTAGCTTGGGCTATATTTTATTTTTTCATGTCTTTACGTGCAGGTAACTATATTTTTTTGAATTCACATTTTGTTAATAGGCGTAAATCGATGAATTTTCGGTGTCACACTCTGTATGTGTCATACATAAAAATAAAAATAGTTTGTCGTAATATAAAGGCGATAATGTCAGTAAGTAATAAATAAGGCATTATTTTTTCGCCTACTACTTTTAGACTTTATTAGATTTAAGTACAATTTCAAATTGATGATTGGCCACCATAAATATAGGTCAGATTTAACTATACAATTTCCTTAATTTATTCTAATGGTATCTATAAATAACTTCACTGAAGAGAACAGTCTCAACGAATATTAATATTACAATAAACATTTTTAAGAAATACACACCTATACGTTTATATTATGTATACCTGGAATAATTCTTAAGAGCACCTTGAAAAGTATTTAATACCCTCTAAGACTTCATTTTTATGCCCATTTTTATAAAATTTTCAGGAAATACATAATAATATCAAAAAATTTGGAGGGAGGAATCGTGTCTTTTTTGTAGAATTCAGGGGTTATCGTTTCCAAGATTTGTTTTAATTTGACTCTTAAACTCATTACTCTTCTTTTTTATTTCGTGCCAAACATTTTCGGCTAATACCTTTACATTATGTTGCGCAAGCCGCAAACTAGGTATTTCTTCTCCTAAACCACTAGCAAACATACAATAAGAGATATTATTAGATTAAGTCCATAAGGCCGTGCTTTATTTATAAGTTCTTCTTCATTGCTTGCAAATTTTGGTATGAATTTTGACCCATCGGGCAATCGAATGAAAACCAAATTTTGAAAATATTTCTCGAAAAACCTCATTACGTATAATGACTTAATTTGTATAAATAATAATAATTAATTTGACAGATGTTCCTTGGAGGACTTGTAACAATTATTGGAACACGAAATTCTGCGTAAATCCTTACGATCGCAAAGCATTACTATGCTGGGACAAGTATAACCTCAACAACACTGTTAGTAAAATGTGTCAACTTGACTCATTCAATATCTCTGCAGAGGATTTGACTGATCCCGTAAAGGAATTTTGGGAGTAAGTATATTAATATGTAGCACCAGATTTTGTTTTGTTACCCACTTAACTCGTATAAATTTTAGACGGAGAGCTCTTCAAATATCTAAAGGAATAGAGCACGTTGGTGTAATACGATGGGAGTTAGCTGGTACACTGTTATTGGTTTGGATAATTTGTTATTTCTGTATATGGAAAGGAGTAAAATGGACTGGCAAAGTGGTCTACTTTACAGCCCTGTTTCCTTATGTACTTCTTAGCATACTACTAGTACGAGGTATTACATTACCAGGAGCTATGGAAGGCATTCGTTTCTATGTAATGCCTAATTTATCCAAACTATCAGAATCACAGGTGTGGATTGATGCCGTGACCCAGATTTTCTTCTCTTATGGATTAGGATTAGGTACCTTAGTAGCTTTGGGAAGTTATAATAAATTCACCAACAACGTTTATAAGTAAGTTTCGATTAATTTACATTTATTTAACATTTAAAGAATACATAAAGTTTTGAATACATTGAGTGCACACAACTCCAAGATCCAAGTAGTGATAATGTACCTGCAAAAAATAGGAAACCATTGCTTAATTTGACCCTATTAATAGATGGGGAGACAAAGATACAAGAAGAAATTTATTTAATTTAATATTACACAAAATTTCTTTTAATTGTTGTTTTTTTTTTCAGGGATGCCCTAATTGTTTGTTCCGTCAATTCTAGTACAAGTATGTTTGCAGGTTTCGTAATATTTTCTGTAGTAGGATTTATGGCTCATGAGCAACAACGACCTGTTGCAGACGTAGCTGCTTCTGGTAGGTTAAAAATAATGAAGACCGACAGCTAAAAGCTTTGAATTAATCCGCTTTTTATTTTTCAGGACCTGGTCTGGCATTTTTAGCCTACCCGTCTGCAGTTCTACAGCTGCCAGGTTCGCCATTGTGGGCCTGCTTGTTCTTCTTTATGATACTCTTGATTGGGCTTGATTCCCAGTTTTGTACTATGGAAGGATTTGTGACGGCCATAATTGATGAATGGCCCGCTTTGTTGAGAAAAAGGAAAGAAATATTCATCGCTCTTGTTTGTTTCTTGTCTTATCTAGTTGGACTGTCTTGTATAACTCAGGTGAGTTGTTAATTTATCAAAAAATCAAGAATTTAAATAATATAAAACTATTTTCTTGTAGGGTGGAATGTACGTGTTCCAGATATTAGATTCTTATGCTGTCAGTGGTTTCTGCCTTCTATTTTTGATATTCTTCGAATGCATAGCGATTTCATGGGCGTTTGGTGTCAACAAATTTTATGATGGTATTAAGGAGATGATTGGTTATTACCCAACATCTTGGTGGAAGTTTTGTTGGGTAATTGCTACGCCCTTCATATGTATTGTAAGTATTGCATTCTGCATCTAAAACTGGTTATAATAATGATTTATTATAGAGTGTCTTCTTCTTCAACTTGATACAATGGGCTCCAGTGAAATACTTAAGCTACGAATTCCCACTTTGGGCACATCTGTTTGGTTGGGTAACAGCATTAACATCTATGATGTGTATTCCTGGTTACATGGTATACATTTGGTATGTCACTCCAGGAACTAGAGACGAGGTAAGTGGTTTTTTGCATTGTCGTTGAAATGTTAAATATCGTTACGCTTCCACTGCTTCAAGCGAACACGGACTCCATCTTTCCGAGACACATCTTTCATAAGTCATATAAAGTTATAACGAAATAAATAGAGAAGCTGGAAGTGGCAGGTACTATTCATATCTACGCCGACGGTTCTGAAACAAAAAAAGGCTCAAAATGTGGCTGTGAGTAATAGAGTCAGTGTAGTTTAAACTGAGCTCACGGAGATTCTCATAGGAGCAAAATGGAACAAAAGAAACATGCTCATCTATACAGATAGCAGAAAAAGTACTCACTTTGGACATGCCACAAATTGACTTAGGATTAGTACTAGAATGTCACGAAGCTTTGGCCGAATAATGTATCACCAATGTGGTTACCTTAAGATGGACCAAAGGAGGAAGCTAACATTTTGTATCTGGCCCTTCTATTGGACTGACAACATCGGTAGTGACAAACCTAATTAAAGAATACTCCCTTGTGAAATTCAAGGAAAAGTGGGATAAATCAAGAAGCTGTAGAGTTGCTAGCCAGTTATCCTAATACCACAGCAAACAAATACTTGACTATGACTAGATGGAATAAGCGTCTGATTACAGGCATTCTGACTAGTTATTGCTAAGTACGGAAGCATGTACATAGCATGGGACTGTCAGAATCCGCACTCTGCAGGCTGTGCGAACAAGATGATAAGCGAAGCACCTTTTTTACGAGGTTGTCAACTACATCAAATCTGTTAAGGAGCCTACCGCTTTAGGAGGATGCACAATGGGCTCAGTGAGGCCTAAGTGCCATGGGTGAAAATCCACCCTCCATACTTTACAGATACAGAGATAATATTAAAATATGTATAAAAAAATGATTTAATTGTGTAATTTAACTTGTAATATAATTTCAGAAAATCCGTCTGCTTATCAGAATAGACGACGATGTGCAGACAATAAGGGCTAAAATGCATCATGAACATGTAACAGGTGTTGCTGTGTGATAGACTAATTGTTTTTTTTTATTAACTACTACTTATAAGGGTTGTCACGAGTAAAATATTGTGTACATTATGTTTTCTACAAAACTTTTACATTATTTTTTTTGTAATAACTTTAATAATTTATTATTGCAGCTGCCACATTTAGGTACAAACTATTGTGTACATACTGTATATTTAATTTTTTAAAAAACGGTAAATTATATTTAAAAAAATGTAAATAGTTTTAGTGTTTAAAAAATGTAATATTCTGTAAGTTACTCGAGGTACAGTAGAATATATCAATAAACAAGATCTCTGCAAGTCAAATACATGCAGCATACATTTCAGTGACAAAAGATTTGTAAATAGATATACCTGATGGTTGAGTAATTATATAACATTAGGATTTTCATAGTCTTTTTTGTAATTTAATTCATTTCAATTATTTATGAATGTATTACTGCAGTATAAAAATGTAACTTGAGGCGCAATTTATAAATTAAAAAAAGTAAAAACGAAATAGACCATTTTTTATGTAATACAGTTATTTCTGGCGTTTGCAAGAAGCCTAATTATTAATTATTATTATAATTTTTACTTTTAATAACAATAAATCATCATATTTTTTCTTTTTGGGTATATATTGTACTAATTTTGTGAATTAGTTTCTAGTCTAAAAAGTTTTCACGTTCTTTATTTTGTCGGAATGATAATAATTGTTTTTAAGTAATATACTATAGAATCGCAGTTTTTTAATTTTATTAAGAACATTTACATTATGTATTATTTATTACTAACATCTATATATTGTACAACTAATTTTTTTAAATAAACTATCTGTAAACAATTTTCCTTCTTATTTCCGAAACTAGATATTCGTCTATTTTTACAAATAAATCGTAAATTTTTATAAAACTATCTAGAACCAATTTATTTAAAAATATTTAAAAAAATTTTGCTTCCTTAGCGCATATATATTGGTTTGCCTTGCGAAGAGTCCAGATCCGGAGTTCATATTCACTAATTAAAATCTTCATTTGAGCTTAACATATTAAGTTTATTTTATTTATTTATTTATTTAACACACCACCCAACAGGGATAACCATTTAACGGGTGGGAAAAACAATATTAAGAGAAATGTTGATTATAAAGACTGTAAATACTTATATAGTATTATTTGCAATCCAGGTGTCAATGTCCATGAAGAAAACCTGTGGCTGTATGCGAAAAAGGAAAAAATGGATATTAACATTGGATACCTATTACAAGATAAAGTACTATATGTTTAATTGATAATAATACCAATAACTAAACTAAGATTACACAATGAACTAGAATTCAGTAATACACATAACTAATATCCAAGCTGTCTTGGATGGTATGATACTCATTAATTGCTTGGTACAGTTGGGATGAATTACCAAATCAATGCTGTCTATGTGATCGTTAAGAACTTTCCAAAGTAGTGTTATTTGCTGAAAAGTTCGACGTTTTGTCAGATTTGCGAGTTAAAATTGTGTTAATAGAAGATCATGAGGAAAGCCTCTTGGGGGATATATACCATCTAATATAAAAGAAGCCGATTTCATAAATGTTCTTTGAACTTTTTCGATTAGGTCAATATATAGATTTTGTCTGGGACTCCATATCTCAGATTCATATTCAAGTTTCGATCAAACAAAGCTGTTATATAAGATTTTTAATGTGGACATATCTGAGAATTCTTTGCAACTTCTTATGAAGGTAAGTTCAGGATCAAAATATATATCAAGATCTCTTACAAACTCAGGCCTATTGAGAATAATATCATGCAATCTATAATTAAAAGTGAAAGCAGTTAATCGCCTGGTAAAGGACAAACCGAACATTTTTCTGGATTCAATGGGAGTAAACTATCCTGACACCAATCCGCTATACCATCCATTGTTCTAAGGCCTCTGACATTTTGATAGTATAATATAAATAAACCAAAATATGGACTTTGATTGGTGGATTTTGGCAAAATATCCGTAAAATTGACTACGATTGACGAATTTAGGTATAATAAATAGAAGGTGTAATTGAAATAGAGCAGCATATTAAAACAGCTTTATTATTAAAATTTTCTAAAATTCAGATATATATAACCGAGTAATTGAATCTTAAAAATTTACTCCAAAAATATACACACCACTGTAGGAAACATTTACAAAAAACCGAGTTAATACCAAGTAGATTATTGATTATTATTATTAGATACTACGATATTATTATACTATAGTACTGATTGTACATTATGTACATACATTAGTACTAACTTTGTAGGTAGGGTAGATTTTTTGCTAAATCTCAGACTTATTTGCGAGCAAATAATTTTTTCTAATTTTTTTTATACAGCTAAATGGTTAAATGGTTAAACTTTTTGTCAAAATAAATCAATAATTGGACAAAGGATATTGATCTTAATTCATATCCTCATCCTATAAGTAAATATTGATTTCGAAACAAATTGGATAGTAGAAATCACTTTACTTTCCTAGCATAATTAGGAATATCTCTAATAGGGGTCGCTACCCTTTTCAGAGGAAGAATAGAATTGGTATTGGAAAACTCAAGACAGCAGGAACTTTTTAAATGTTTTTTATCGCTTCCTGTTTCGGTTTTGAGCTTGAAAACAAAGTTTCATTTAAATAAAACACATATTTTGTTAAAATGCGGTCCATATGTATGGAATAAATTAATTTTACCGAACTTTTCGATAATATCCTGAAACAGTTCAATTTTAAACATGAAAATATTGCCACCCGACTTTTACCCCCTCTGAATTTGAACAAACCTCAAAACTTTAATTTTAAATTAGAAAGGGGGTCACACAGCACCTCGTTTGAAATGGATTTTAATTATCTCTTTAGCAGTATGCATTTTTTTTTAAATTTGGTGCATTAATAACCGAAAAAATAAAATAAATAAATTTTGGGCCACCCTTGTTTTAAATATGGGACATTACGACAGATTCTTTCCATTGTGCAGCAATTTTAAGGGTTTTGAAGGAAAGATTGATGAATGTGTTTTATAGTTTTACCTAAAATTTTATCCATTCCAGAAGCAAAATTATTTTTAAATTTAGAAATTACTATTATAATAGATATTTATGAAACCAGTTGCGAAATGCCTTATTTTATGTAACGAGTGAATATTTGCGGGACAAGCAGTGCGTGGTTAAACATTACCGACATTTAGGCAACCAGTATTACTTTCTTGTATCGTAAGTTGCATATGCATCATTTTATTGACAATTAGAACATCATTATTAATTATTTAGTCCAAAATTTTTTTAATAATGGATTACACATAAAATGCAACCCAATTTTCATTTATAACTATTTCGGAGGTCTGAGCCTTTTCTTATTTTCCGATTGAACGATTTGATAGGAAAATGTTTAACTTAGGTGATTCAAGGTTTCATTTTCAGAAAATTTATTGAATTTGTAGTTTATTCTTACAATGAAAAAGGTCTTAAAATAGGCCATTTTCTACCACAAGTTTTTAATTAAAAACAATTAATTTAAAAAAAATCAATGCCTGAACCACCTAAGTTGGACCTTTATCTACAATTAAAAAAAAAATAGTACGATATACGGTATAATTACGAAAATAGTTACAATTAACTTTTGGTCTGCAGACGCCATTCTAATGCACAAGGATACTCTGTCCTTATCTGATGTTAATAGGTTTTGAGGTAGATCTGTTTGGTTTATCTTTTTTCGACATTATTTTATGTACTAGACTAATAATAGACATCAAGTATCATAAATAGTTGAAATCAACTTGTCGAAGATATTATAAAAATGTAAAAATATACAAGGTGTTCTATTTAAATAAAAAAGTTTTATATCAATAGAGCGCCCCCTCAAATCCTGCGTACCAAATTTTCAATCAAATATCTCTATTAATTTATGAGATATAGCCTGGATGAATTAGTTCAGAACGCCCTGTATATTATTATCCTCTTATCCTTCTGTTTAATTATTCGCAACCTATCCCAGATTGTAGCGATCTACAAGCTAAGAATGATAGCTGTTCAGAATATTTTAAGTTCCACAAAATTCGTATTCCAGCGAGAGAGTTCACCCCTTGAACCAGTCCAGGATAACCCTGAAATAGAGAATAACAATGCTGTGCTAAACAGGCAAACACTAGAAACAATTGTGTAAATCGGAACAGAATAGATAAGTGTCGGTTAGACGCATACAGGAAGAAGGAGAGAGATACAGACGAATTTCAAAATATACCTAAGGGATAAAAAGAGTTGAGAGAGTTTTTAAACTTTGGAAAAAGATACATATTATTATTCGTTTTGATATGATTTTATTTTAAATTTTTGTTGCTATGTCCAATATAAGGTCTTAAACCTTCGCTCTTCGATATAGCCAGAGCTGGGCAGTACTCGAGTAAATTGTACTCAAAGTTGTACTCGACTACTCATAGTACTCAGTAGGGGAGAACCGGGTAGCCCCGCTCAGAGGGTAACCCTGCTCATCGCGTTTTTATTCAAACGAATCCTGTATTACTGATGGCATCTATTGCCAAGCGCGTGTATCAAGTCAGGAGGAATATTTACAAGACAAGTGCGCCATTATTTCGGCTTGTCGCCTGCAGTCGAAATGTTCTACGTGATAGGTCAGTATAGGTTATGAGTCATTTTTAAAACACGGCAAGTGAACCAAATCTTTATTAAATAACTATATTTTTATACCAAAGTGAAGATAATTAAACATAGTTTATTGTAAGACAGTATTTTTTTGATATTCTTGCTATCTTCTTTTGATAAAAAATATTTTATGAAAAATTGACGAATCGGGTATGCCCGCCCAGTCTGAGCGGGGTTACCGGTCGTTTTTATCTTGTTTTTATTAAAGTTATTTTTATACCTATCCTAGATGCCACATTCTAGACAAAGTCAAACAAATAGGGGCTCATGGACTGTTGTAGATTTAGAACGGACTATACATGCTATTGGAGAAGGGATGGGAAAAAGACAAAGTGCTAGAAATTTTGGTAATAAATATTTTAAGAAGGTCAAAGGGATTTATATTAATATGATTATTATGATTTTAGGGATTCCGTATTCAACGCTAAAGGATCATTTAAAATCTAATAATTTATCTAAACCTCAGCTGGGTCGCCACAAACTTTATAATAAGGACCAAGAAAGTGAAATAGTGCAACATTGCATATATTTGGCAAAAATGTTTTATGGGCTGACCCCAATCGACTTGAGGAAACTTATATTTGAATACGCTGAGTCAAATTTTATCACCTATCGTTTTAATGTAACTAAAAGAATGGCGGGAAAAGACTGGTTTGGTGCCTTTATGAAGAGAAACCCACACATTAGTCTCAGGAAACCAGAGACAACAAGCTTAGGCAGAATTTCCGGGTTTAATCAACAAAGTGTTGCATTAATCTACAAGAATCTTGGAATATCGATGAGACAGGTATTACTACCGTACAAGTTGGCCCAAAAGGTACCAAACAACTTGGGAAAGCGGTTAGCTACGAACGTGGGCGAAATATTACTGTGTGCGGCTGTATTAGTGCATCAGATTCTTTTATTACACCTGTTTATATACCTCAGGGCAAGGATGTCTGATCAGCTAAAAAGAAATGGCCCAGTAGGTGCAAAATACACCTGCTCTTTG